CGGCTGGCAAAGAACCTTAGTTCCTCAGCATGCACGTTGACTTGTTTCTCGCGCAAACTTCCTGCCAACCTGTATAGTACATATAGATGTCTCCTTCGTCCGAAACTCAGCCCTTCACTAAACTAAAATTCGCATCGTTTCGGCCGAAACGATGCGACAAACAACGGATCCAAACCTCACGAGTCAAAACGTCACACGTTTGAAGGTCAAAATAGCGCGATGTGTATGTAAAATGTCCGGTCGGCAGTACCTCCATAGATTGGCTTCCTTCAAACGTGCTCCGTTCAGAACATCCCGATGTCGCTTTCTACCAATTGGATGAGGTTCACCAATTTTGCCGGTCCAGAGCACCCTTGTACAGCCACTCCATGCCACCCAAAATGACCTTCTTGTAGGGCCACTTGCTCTTGTCCTGATCCTGACGGCTGACGGCGTGGCGGAGGCCGGAGATGTGTGGCGTTGAAGAAGACACCTGCAACACGTGTCCACGAACTGCCCCAAATCACTGCTTGTGTGGGGGGTTCTTTGATGGCAATAATCTTCTTCCACTGAACCCTCCAATCCTTAGAAATGAAGTCTGAGTCTTAGCATCTCAAGCGGGCCAACTTCTTCCACCGGTCCCCCCGGCGACGAGGTCCTCGTTGATCATCAAGATGTCCTCAACCTTGAAGCCATACTGCTCCACTAAGACCTACCACTGCCAAGTGCTTTTTGTGCAGAAGAAAATTGGCCTTTTTGTTTGGGTCCATGTCATTGAAGTGACTTAAAGTACGATATGTTCAAGCGACTCGCACATGTTGTTTTGTCTATTGTGCAGTCCATGTCACAGGTGTCATGCTGGATGTTCTTGTTGGATGTTAAAGGCGATGTGTGCAATTGGTGGATGACATGGTGCATTCGGGTTGATGGAACGAATCCCCCCATTTGGACTGTGAAACTTCTCCCAGCTTGGGGGGTGTCTCATCAATCAACAGTCTACATCGCTGGTAGATGGTTGCTGAAGAGGCCCTACTGAAGAAGCTTCCTAATATATCCTTTGGTGGATATAGATGGGTATATGGAAGCTGATGGTGGATATACATTAGCGGATATCCAATGGAAACAACAGTTGGTTAGACAGATGATAGATGTATCTTAAATCCATTGGATATCTCATAAATCTCATTGGTTGGTATCTCCATTCATATCCATTGGTAGATATGGGTGGATATCTCGGCTCGACTTTGCTAGATGTTTAGCCGAGGCCTGCCAGAGCTGTTCGGTAGTGCTTGAGATGGCCCCATACTGCTTGTGACAGACGGTCGGTCTAGTTGGTTGGAAGGGGGTTTTCGGCCGGTCGGTGCTTCGATCAAAGAGGAGGGTCAGAGTGCCATGGGGCATGGGGCAATGGAAGGTGAGGATTGATTGTTTGGAGAGGAAAAAAGAAGAGAAAGAAAAGGAGCAAAACCTTCTGAAAAAGAAAAAAGAACAAGAGGGAGGGTTGCTGTTGCCTTTTTGGAGAGGACCTTCTTTCTTCAAACAGGTATGCAAAACACGAGGCTTGGCGCTTGGCGCAAGCGCGCCCAACCAAAGCGCCTTGTAGAGGTCAATGTATATATCTAGATACTCGCTGAGTAAAGACATGGGTCTTCGTTTAACTCAGGACCTTTGGCTGGTTTGTTATTCTATCTCTTTTTGGGAAGTTCTACTCAACTTAGAGCAGTCTTCCAATCCACTATGGGATGCAGCATACATAATCATACAGCTATAGGTGTTGATAGAAAGTGGAAAAGGACAGCACCTGTTGCCCTACTTCGTTTCTGGCTCTGAAGAAGACTTCTCAGGCGCTTGACGCCGGACAAGACGACTGACGACTGCAGAATCGATGACCTCACCTGATGTCTGGGACGGCCATAGAACGGGCTGCATGTCATACATGGAAACCCCCAATTCGGCCCCACCCCTGGCCGTTTTCTCGGCCCCACCCCTGCCTGGAACCTGACCGGAAAACCCACCGTTCGCTTCGCGTCGCTCGCACCCCCGAAGCACACCACGCTCGCACCCCCGAAGCTTCGCACCTTCTGCATGTTGTTGACATCATTGATGCATCCACGCAACTCCGCGCGCGTGTTCCTGCGATGGGACCCATCGATTCCGCACCATAAAACACGGAATCGCGCAGCGCAGCGTGGACCGAGGAAGCCGGAGCCGCAGCATGTATCCAGGTTTGAGTGACACCTGGAAGTCTCTTTGAAACGAATTCTGTTTGACAAAATGGTTGGGGTTCCATCTGCCGGTGGGTACAAACTGATGAGCCAAAAGGAACACACTTCTCATCGCTCAGCGATCCAGCTAATAGATGAGTCAAACTGGAAGCCTTCATTGATCACCTAAAACCGCTAGTGTTGGAGGTCGGACACCCATGATGGTGATGTATGACTTGTTCAAAGGTCGCGGCGAAGAACCAAGATGTGTCTGGCATGTGTCTGGCATGTCTGGAACTTCGCAGGTCTGACCTATTCTGCATCAGAAGTCCCAGACCTAGACCTACACGGGACCCCGACAACTCACCCTGGAAGTGGAGTGAAAACCCGCCTGTTTTGAAAGGAAAGCCATCTGAGGTGAAAAGACAACTCGAGGTGAGCCATCTGAGGTGAAAAGGATCCTTTTTCGTCGCCAGGTAAAGACATGTCTCAGCTATTCAAAGAAAAGGGCTGTGGCACCCCCTATCTTTGGGAATCCTTTGTTCTTTTACTGCAAGTCTCCCGAACGTGCATCATCAGCACCACTGTCATCATCACCAGAATGAACCAGAAAACACCACAGAACCAAAACAACTTCCCTCCGGTTGAAACACCGCGTTCACCGGATGAAACACCGCGTTCACCGTGGATTTCTCCACGTGCTTCACGCGACGTCCCGGTGGGTGTCGTCCTGTAGTTGATCCCGACCAAGCACGCCTTCTTGGCCCCAGTGACCTTAGCACTGTCGGCCAAAAGCCGCATGGCCTCGGGGCGGTGCGGTGTTTGGTCAGGCCTCGGGTCCCCAAAAAACACTCAAAAAATACAGCGAAGGTTGCATGCAGACACGCCCTGTGGCGGGCTGTAAGCACTGTAGTGGCTGAAAATGCTGTGGTCGAAACGAGCCCGAGATCAAAGATCTTCAAGCAAACCCACCCGAATTTCGCTGATGTTAACCGTCGCTGCCCGAAACCCCGCGGAGGAGGAACAGTGGTCCCGAACGGAGTCCCCAGAGCCCTTGAAATCAGCATCCCAAGGAGGTTGAACAAACCCTTTTTTGCCTATCCCATATGTACCCTTCTTCTTCTTCTTCTTCTTCTTCTTCTTCCCAAAAGGTCTAGCCTGTAGCAGCCCTCCAGAAGCTATTCTGGATCCCTCCATATGTACCCTTTTAAAACAAAAGGGTTCCGGTCTCTCAACCCTCAACCAGATCTTTGTAACTGAGAATCTCACGTCGGACGCTCCTTCCCATTTCCCATTTCGTCCCGATCGCACGTTCATCGGCCGCGCAGCTTGAGGGTCCAAGTGCTAAGGAACTATTGACGCTCTCTGATATGGATGTTCAAGTGGTGAAATTTTGGGTCAGGACACATGTCTTTCGCTTGATGATCGTGAAAGGGACTACATCCAACTAACATTGAACCCCAAACCCGTCAGTTTCGTATCTGGACAGTAGTCTTGCAGTCTTCCATCCATCTCTTGTGAGTGAACCAGGTGATGGTGTGCATCTGAAACAGCCCATCCATCCACACCCTTTTCGGAAACAGCCGGGCCTGGTGGCCCTCATTGCTGCTGCAGCACTGCCCCATTGCAAGGCTCACAAATTGGGTGGAGGCCTTTTTTTCGTTCTGACTAGGGCGACACAGCACTGCGGCCAGAGGTATCGCGGAGACAGAACAGCGTGGTGCTGGTGGTGAACACATGGAGGTTCGCCACAACTCGAGGCGTCTGACGCGTCTGGACGTTGCACGAATTCTGAGGGATATCCTTGCCTCAACATGGTGCTAAGCATGTTGAGGCAAAGGATGGGCAGGCAATCCCGCAAAAGGCAGGTACACATTTCTATATATATATATATATTCCATACTGCTTCTATCTGCTTCTTCTTATAGTTGGAGGTGAACAGCTCACACCTACAGTAAACCCAAAGTGTGACCTCGCCTACGTCACTGAGGTAGAATCTTGATGTATAATAACACCCCCCACATGAAGAGGTGTTTGAATCCATGTCTGGGTGGGGGTTATAAATCAAGATTCTCAATCTTCAAAAGTTTAAATCCTTGTAAAGCCAACTGGTGGAGTTTCACTAAACTAAACTGTTCGTCTGAACGTCGTTCACACCACTTGCACTATCTGAGATACCTGGTCATTCAAGCAGCTTGGTGGATACTCAGCCAACCATCAAGCGCACATGCACTCAGCTCTTCCCAAGCGACAGGAACCTTCTCGACCCGACCCTAGCCTTCGCCTGATCGCAGCTTCCGCAAGCGATCGCGATCACCTCCGGAAACCTATATCCGTAGGAGCAAGGACGCCACTAGGGGCTCCTGACCTTACTACTAGGAACAAGGACCCTACTAGGAGCAAAGGGCATCGCTACTCGGAGCAAGGACGCTACTATCTCTATTATCATCTATTATCTGTGCTGGCCTGAGGGGGTTCTCTTGATGGTTAACCCCAAACGCTCCAAAACACCTTCCATATACAATGCAAAAGAGTGGTTGATTGGTGTTAGGTCAAAAAAATAGGAAGCAATCAAGTTTGAAAAACTCCGATGTACATGGGTGTGTATGACCCAAAAGGGAGGCCTCCCAAAGACGGAAGAATGTAATGTTTCTTTAGACCAGCCTACCCATCCATATGGATGCACCGTCTTTTGCCCTAACAAAGATGTATCCAGCACCCTTGTATTCCCTCTTGCTTGAGGGCACCCAGCTACCTCCTCTGCGCTGTGTGATTGTTCTGGCAACCAACTCCCCCAGCCCACCCCAGCCCTTGTGTCTAAGCACAGGCATTGCTGCGCAGCCTGCACGCTGTCTGCACCGCATCTCCCCTTTTCTTGCCCAGAATCTCGTCCATGGTGAGGTCAGACATCCTCCGTTTCCGCAACGTGTCCCTTCTCAACCGCTGAGCCTGTTGCTCCGCCTTCTGCTGGTCTCGGGCATGCTTCCTTGGGAAGTTCGGTGAACGAAAGAGACTCCCCGGTCGTGTGTGGCACTGGTCAGGATCTCCTGGTGTCATGACACAGGAACCCAAGAGGGTGCTGGACCAATCCCCTATGTCGAGTGCTGGACCACAAAACGATACACAGCACTGGATACTCTTAAGGTCCATGCCCTCTGAAAAGGCACCAAATTCGGACCCCGAGATGATCCGAGATGCGGAGACAATCCGGTCGAACTCTACCGTCCGCCAGTCGTGCGATTTCGCGCGCGCGCGCAGAAACAGAAACTCACTCACTTCCGCTTTTGCCGACTTTCGGCTCCGAAAAAGGGGAAGAACCTCATGGAAGAACTGGGTATCTTCTTAATATAGGGAGGCACCGAACCACCAAGGGGATTTTCGTCTACTTCCGAACCTGCAAGCTCCACCTGCCAAATCTCCCATACACACCCATATAATCCCATATACTCCTCCGTGAGTCGCTCCGTCCGGCGGCTTCTTGTTCTACCCCGGTTCCGCTGGCGCTTTCCGGCGTCCCGGTTCCAAGACTACCCCGGCCGAAAGCGAACATGGAGGCCCAACCCTGCCGCTGTACTTGGAGGACAACCGTCTGTACGACCCGGGTGCCATTCGACCCGGGTCCATGGGAAGTTTTTGTTGGGAGTGTCGTTTTTTTACGCCATCACGCACACAATGAAAGAGGTATATAATGGGCGTAGGGAATCCATAGAGTGTATGTGAGCTCTTGCGCCAATGCTGAGCGGCCACCTTCAAAAAAAAGAAACTCTGGAGACTAGAGCTTCGACCCAGGCGACCAGGCTTAGGGGCTTGGGCGTAGCGAGCTTGGCCAGCTGAGCCTCGAAACAAGGAATGGACGTCCCCCACGCCACAGCCAAGTCATGCTTCATCGTTTGGGGAATTCGTCCGTACCCCACGGACTCATCAGGCCCACAGACCCACCCACTCACCCACTCACCAGGACCAGTGGACCGGTACTGCCGAAGCCAAGCGTCCGCTTCACCTCGTCCTGTCGCCTCCGTTCAAGTCGCTCCTTCTTTCGCTGCCTCAAGTAGCTTTGCCGCTTCTTCTCTGCCAGCCTCTCCTGGATTCTCAAGAGATGTCTCCACCTGTGAAGCAGCTTCCTGATTCTTTGCAGCCAGCCTCGTTGGTGTTCCTCCTTGTCATGTAAACTCATCTGCTCACGCTCCCAATGACATCTCTGTCGTAATCTCTTGCAGCCGTGCGGGTGCTCATCCTTGTCATGCATCTTCATCTGCTTGCGCTCCCATCTGAGGCTTGAAGTGCGGAACCTACGTGGCCGGTGTCTGTTCTTGTCATGCATAGACATCTGCTTGAGCTCCCACTGCTGCAATAGCTGGGCACGCACATCAACGTTTGCATCATAGAGCGCTTGCATCTTGCGCAACTGGTCATTCTTCCTATCCAAGCGGTCTTCCCACATGGCAGCCACTGAATTCAGAAAGAGTTCCCACAGACCGGTCAGGTCAAGTGGGCCGTAGTGCCAAATCAGACTCTTTCGAGTCTCTAGATTCTGCTTCATGTAGGCACGGAAAGGCGCCATACACCGGTGGTACTTCATCACTTCTTCCACGCTGGAGGCCACTGGGGAGAAGACGCACCTCCTGCCGCACGCACGTCCAACAAAGAAGATGCCTCGGGCGGACGATCCGGCGGACGATCCGAAGTCCGATCGCCATGGGCCCGATGGATCCCGATGGCTTGAACCCAGAGGTTGAAGAACCGTATAGACTATCCCAGTTGGGTATCCCAGAATGGTCCTATAAGGTCACTTATATAACCTCTCTTGAAGTGTCGACGAGTCTTCTCCCAGACCGGTCCAGATCGGCGAAGACGTCCGTGGAGTCGAAATGGACGACAGGGACGAGGAATTCTTAGCCCCAGCAGGTGCAAGAGCGCATGTGGCACGGACGTGCCACAGCCCAGAAGTGATCGGACAAACAATTTGTTGATCGTTGCCCTCAACAAGTTGCAAAACGATCCCAAACGTTCTGTTAGAAAATGGAGAAACTGGACACAACACACAACTTCCCAACCTTGCACATATGCTGTACACTCCAAAAAGGTTTGCCCCAAAACCATGGCTTCTTTGGACAAAAGCAAAAAAACATCACTGCAGATCGCCTGCATGTTGGACTAAATGCCAGCGTAGCCTTAGTTCTTCATATCTTCGGCCATGCTCCATGGCACAAACTTCCACTGCTTCTTGCAAGCGGTGTTGAAGAGCCATGCTGGAATCCTGCACCTCCGCCCCTGAGGCCTGCAGGGAGGAAGATGCTTCGTGTTCGAACACGTTGATGTCTAAATACGACCACATCCGCTCGACCCTGGCTCATTTGGATGTGTATTAGAGTATGGAGACCTCCCAGATCAACCCACGAAAAGACCCATTTGGCCCAAAGCGCATTGGTTGGGCATCTCCCTATTTTGACACACCCCTATTCGACTGGTCTTCCCCTTCTTCTTCTCGGCTGAGAGGTCTCCCTTTAGTACCACTGGAGTCCACACTTCGTTACGTGAACAAAACTGTAGAAGATTGGAGGATGTCTTCTCCTCAAGTAAGCAAACTGTCTTAAAATACTTCCCACCTTGACAGTTGACATCTCCCATGCGTGGTGTCTGAGAAACCAACCGAACTCGCATGCTTTTGTCAAAAACACCTGCACTCTCTGCTTGATCGAGGTGAGGATCACCAGGAACTCCACTGCTGTTGACAAGTCCACCACTTGTGTTTCTGCTCGGATTCCTCAGCACGTCGAGGGTGGTAAGTGGGGCTGCAGGATCGAGAATGCCGGCGGCTAGCCGCTAGCCGGTCACTAAGAGCGGGGAAAAAAATTTGGCCATTCGGGATGAGCGCAATGGCCAAAATAATTTCGCCACGGAGAAAAAGATTTGCAAAAATGATAACCAATCAACTAATAAAATAAGTAGTAAAAATATGCCGCACTGGGACTAGCAGTAGTAGTAGTAGGAGGAGTAGGAGCAGGACTAGGAGTAGGAGTAGGAGTAGTAGGACTTGCGGTAGCAGTAGCAGAGTGGATATGGAGTTCTGCTTAAAACCAGATTCCGTGGCAGGCCGGGAAGTCGAAATGCAAGGTGCAGATTTCGTAGGCCGTGTGAGCGGGAGTTGCAGCGAATTGTTGTCGTTAAAGCCGAATTTTGGGGGCGTGGCGGTTCGGCGAAAGCAGTCAAATCGAACATGGAAAGCATAGCTAACAGCAACGACAGATATTTTGTTCTTCGAACCGCGCCAGTGAACTGTTATGAATTGTGCTGAACTATTACGATGAAGAAGAGTTCTAGAAAGTGATCCCAAAACATAGAAAGCCAGGACCATCCTTTTACCGTGTTTTACCCACCACTTTTGCAGCCAAAGGTCCAAACAAGAACAGCCTGGCACGATATCCAGAACCCTGCCGCACCAAACCCCGCAGATTCACTTTCTCCTCCTTCCGCCTCACCTGGCTCCAGATATCTAGGCCGCCCGGGCGGACGGAACAGGGACACGACGAAAGCTTGCGAAAAGATCAAAGAAGTTCCACTTGGACAGCAGCTGCCGAACGTCTGGAAAAAAGTGCCGCCTACACTAGTTTCCGACTTTATCAGATAGGCTGTGCGCGTGAGCGCCAAAATCTGTACGACTATACACACGCTGTTGCACGCAAGACTTTCATCTCATGTTGGTTCTTGCATCTCAAGGCTTCCTATGCCTCTTAAAGAAGGCAGGCACATCGCAAGCTCTTGGTGGCACTGTGCACGCAGGAGCGTTTAGTTTTTCACCTTATGATTCACCTTTGTTGTTTGTATATACTGCATACTATATATATATATACTGTGTGTCTTGCCTTGTGGCTGGAGAACAATCTGGAGCACCAAAAATGCACGGAAAAAAAGGAACTTAACTTTACTTCGAGTGATCCCCACCATGACATTTCAAAACAGCCACGTTCAGCCCAATCTGCTCAGCGTCGAAGGCAATCCAAATGTCAGAGAAACAGGTCCTTCATTCATTTTGTTCGTCCCTTCGTTCGTTCATTCATTCATTCACTCATTAAACCATAGTAGTCATAGTAGTAGTTGTTGTAGTAGTAGTAGTAGTCGTTGTAGTAGTAGTAGTAGTTACAGAAATATTAATCCTAGTAGTAGTAGTCGTCGTCGTCGTAGTGGTAGTGGTAGTGGTAGTGGTAGTCGTAGTAGTAGTAGTCGTCGTCGTCGTCGTAGTCGTAGTCCTAGTAGTAGTAGTAGTAGTAGTCGTCGTCCTAGTCCTAGTCCTAGTCCTAGTCCTAGTCGTAGTCGTAGTCGTAGTAGTAGTAGTAGTAGTAGTCATAGTAGTAGTAGTAGTAGTAGTAGTAGTAGTGGTAGTGGTAGTGGTAGTGGTAGTAGTAGTGGTAGTTAGTCGTTAGTCCTAGTCGTTAGTGGTTAGTGGCTAGTGGTTAAGTCGTTAGTCGTTAGTCATTACTCGGTAGTCGGTAGTCGGTAGTCGGTAGTGGGTGGTGGGTAGTAGGTAGTAGTAGTAGTAGTAGTAGTAGTAGTAGTAGTAGCAGTCGTCGTCGTCGTCGTCGTCGTCGTAGTGGTAGTCGTAGTCGTAGTGGTAGTCGTAGTAGTAGTAGTAGTAGCAGCAGTAGTAGCAGTAGTAGTAGTAGTAGGTAGTAGGTAGTAGGTAGTAGGTAGTAGGTAGTAGGTAGTAGGTAGAAGGTAGGTAGTAGGTAGTAGGTAGGTAGTAGGTAGTAGGTAGTAGGTAGTAGGTAGTAGGTAGTAGGTAGTAGGTAGTAGTTAGTAGTTAGTAGTTAGTAGTTAGTAGTTAGTCGTAGTAGTAGTTGTTGTTGTAGTAGTAGTAGAAGTAGTAGTAGTAGTAGTAGTTTGTAGTAGTAGTAGTACTAGTACTCGTACTAGTAGTAGTAGCAGTAGCAGTAGGAGTAGTTGTAGTAGTAGTAGTAGTAGTTTGTAGTAGTTTGTAGTAGTAGTAGTAGTGGTAGTAGTAGTAGTGGTAGTAGTATTGGTAGTAGTAGTAGTAGTAGTAAGCAGTAAGCAGTAAGCAGTAAGCAGTAAGTAGTAGTAGTAGTCGTCGTCGTCGTAGTAGTAGTAGTAGTGGTAGTTGTTGTGGTGGTAGTTTGTGATTGTGTTTGTGGTTGTGATTGTTGTGGTGGTTGCGTCTTTGTCGTTGTGGCTGTGGTTGTGTTTGTGGTTGTGTGCTTGTCATTGTGTGTTTGTGGTTGCGTTTGCGATGGTGTTCGTGGTTGGTTTTTGTGGTTGTGCTTGTGGTTGTGCTTGTGGTTGTGTGTTTGTTATTGTGTGTTTGTGATTGTGTGTTTGTGATTGTGTTTGTGGTTGTGCTTGTGGTTGTGTGTTTGTGATTGTGTTTGTGGCTGCGTGTTTGTGATTGTGTTGGTGGTTTTATTTTTTTTGTTTGTGTCTGTAATTGTGTGTTTGTGGTTGTGTGTTTGTGGTGGTGTTTGTCATTGTGTTTGTGGTTGTGTGTTTGTGGTTGCGTTTGCGATTGTGTTTGTGGCTGTGCTTG